ACCCATAACCTATAACCATACCTATACATAAGACACAGCCAGTTACGTCTATTATCTATATAAAGTTATTACCTAAACAATAAATTAGCGGGCACTTTGATTAAGCATTGTACTTAGGTACATGTTTTATGCATAATGTTATTATAAATAACACAATTGCAAGCGTAGAAAAAAAATTAAAAAAATTGTATAAAATAAAAAGTTAAAGGTACACAGACTTTGTATGTTGATTTTGTTCATATAGTACCTACCTACGTTAAGTGAATGAAACTAGAATCTTTTAACTCATGGAGATAGTAAGAGATGTTCTATATGAAATAGATAGGTACCTACCTACCTAATGATGAAATCATTAAAATACCTACCTATATATTCAACTCAAAAAGCACTTTATTATTGAATAAGCTTTCTTATTAGATAAATATAAATAATTTAACATTAACAATTTAAATTACTCACTTTTAATGTGTTATATATAAAGCTGGACAAGTTAACAGTTTTTTTTTAAACTTGTTAAGTTAATGTAGACAAATGAAAGTAAATTTAAAGTTAAAATAGTTACTTTTCTTTGTTTTAAATAAAGTTATAAATTATGTTTATGTAGGACGTAGGTATTTGTTTACCTTTTTTTATGGAGTAAAACTTTCTATACTCAATTATAACTACCAAATTAATTATTAGAATAGAAATAATCACCTACATGCCTATATGTCATCTAATATAAAATATTATCCAATTCAGTTATAGTTCTATAAATGAATAAAATTATAATAGAACTAACAACTATTAATTAATAATGATTATAGTATATTAGTATATAAACGCGTAGCCGCGTAGGTATGGAATACTGAGTAAATAGTTTTATTTTTATTTTCTCAATGACTCAGTTATCCCGTATCTATAAAAATGTTTGTTCATAATATTAAATAATATAGTCTGTGAATATTATAACCATTATTATAAATTATTATCTATTACTTATTATATATTTTATAAATAATAATTGATACCCATTTCCAATTATTATTATTATTATTATTATTATTTTTTTTTTATAAGATTAAATGTTTCAATATAGAATAAATTTTAAATCTGCGGTCTTAGAAAAAAAATTAACTTAACTTGAAAATACAATAAATGAACTCAAAAGTTACTTCATAACATATACAAAAATTTAACTCAATAAGTTAGACGTTACTTTCAAAAAAAAGTAACTTGTTATGTAACTTAGTTAATAATATTAACTAACTTTAACTTTTTAATGCCCAACCTTGGTTTTTTGGTACTAAGACTATTGTAAACATATTAAGCTGTTAAAAAAAAAATTAGTATTGATATACCTATACTATTGTACTAAAAAAAGTTTTAATAAAACTTAATATGTTCCATTGTTCCCATATGTATAAAAAAAATTATAGTTATGCTAAAATAATAATAATAGATATTGGCTAAAATTCAATATTTGGTAAATTGTAAGCGGGCAGTTAATTTAATATTTTGGGGTGCCGAAATCTCTTCACAATCCACCCCGGGTTGTGTGTGGTGAAAAAAACCTTTAAAATATTATTAATTATCACAAAGCATGGTGGATATACAGTGTAACTGATTAAAAGTTTAAAATAAAAAGTAACTACCTTCGTATAACATTTTGTTTTTAAAAAGTTTAAATGATGCAGATCTTTGTGCAATATTTAAGAGCTCAAGTTAATTTTATACTGGTATTTGGTGTACTATTTTTTCAAATAATTTAATTAACTCATACTTTTAAACCTATTTTGCGTCTTTCCCAAAAAATATATTAACTTTCTTTAATGCATTTTATAATGTTTAAAAATGTAGTTGAATTGTTCTTTTTGTAATATCTGAAACTATTTATAGCGATTAAACAGTGACTAGTGAGGGATAGCTAGGTACCTTATATTTACTTGTTTAGACATAATATCAATTCATCAATATAAATAATTTAACTTGTTTTTAAATGATGAATGATGACTATCTTAACATAGGTACCGATACATCTTATCTCTAGTATACTTGAAGAATTAAAATACCCACCTAACCTAACCTACCATCTAGCTAACTGTACTAAATGTGCAAATATTTGTTAATTTTTAGCCTACGTTATAATTGTATTTGTCGTTAACTTCGAAATCGAAAGTTAAAGAACATTTTTTACATATTTGCGCAACATCAAAATACTAGATTTTTAGATTAAAACATACTAAAACTTAATTTAAATATCCCAATCATACTATAAATTTAAGTTTCGTTAGTTATAACTCTGCTACTGTTTAGTATAGTTAATAATTATTATAAAAAAACATCCATGCCATCTGCAATAGGAAAAAGTAAACTCATTAACTTAAAACAAAAAAAAATATGACATCATTTCAAAATCAAATTTAGTGTATTAAAATCAAAGACAAAGTAAACTAAATCAAAATCAGCTTGTGTTTAACATGAACAGCAGTCGATAAATCCTTAAAACTATCACATTACTTATCTACTGAAGCAAATAAGATTTATATTTTTGTATAATATGTAAAAATCCCTAAGTCATTTTTTTTTATAAAGAATGAAATAACATTAGTTTAGTGTTATTAATGATCAATCACTTATAAAACAATTGATTTTAATACAATATAAAATGGGATGTGGGTAAAAAATAAAATCAATTAAAACAAAATCTCACTACAGATTATCATATTAACAGTGAAAATTAAAAATAAATTAAAATTAAACAATGTCATTCTATTCAATGAAAATACTCAGGTATGAATAAATATAAAATAAAGCTACTAATGGAAATTTTGTGTAAGAGCAAATTAAATTATATAATTAAGTGTTGAAATCGTTCAATTACAAATTAATAACATAAAGAATTATTTTAGTTTTAAATTTATGTAGTTCAACATTTTGTTTAACTTAAGATTTTATACAAATTCAATTAATAAAATAACAATACATATTGGAAAGACGAGGGATTCTTCTTTAAATAATTATAATTTATATTATAAATACGTTAAGTCTTTTTCATGAACAATACATTATTTTCTCAAAATGTTGCATTTTAAATTATATTTATACAATTGGTTACTTAATTTTTAACTTTTCAATAAACATTTTCATGTATTCAATTTCTTTGGTAATTTTCAAAAACAAAATAGCATAATATATAAATAAATAATAAACAAAAACAATTATCTATTATAATAGTACACTATTGTAATCTTTACAAACAGATTTACAAATTAAACAGAACAATGTTTAAGTTAATTATAAAGTTTTACACCTTATATTACTAATCCTATATACATTATCGAAAATAACTCTTCGTTTATTGTGTTCTAGAAAAAAAAAATATATATATATTGAACAACATATTTGACTGAATTTTTATCTGAATAGTATATAATATTTATTTGTTATAAATATAACAAATATTTGTACATGGTTATGATAACAATTTAAGTACATTATCTGGGAAGCAAATGTATTTGTACAAATAAATTATACATTTCATCATACTTTTTAAATGTTGATGACAATACAAAAATGTCTCTAGCCTTATTGAAAATATTATATATTATAATTATTTTAATAGGATAACGAAATAAATTCACCAGAGAATATATAATAAAACAAAATATGATAAATGTTTCCTTATTAAATCATCTATTTGAATCATAATAAGTCAAATTGCACGCAAAACCAGGAAAAACGGATATATAAACAATATAATTTATATATACAATTTAATAATTTAGTTTAAAGTAATATTAATAAAATAATGAATAAAAACTAATTTTTTAATACCTGTGCTAACTGAAAAATAAATTTGAACCAGATGCTTCTATAAGTTTGCTGTTTAAAAAGTATGAATAATACATAGTACATTATATTTAATTAAAAAAAAATATAAATTAACATAGAAGCAAAAGGGTTGGTACAAGTAAGAAATTTTGCAACCAAATTCTTCAATTAATTTATTGTTTAATTTTAAAAGCTTTATTAATCATAAAATATTGGTTTAAATTCTTCGTAATGAATAAAAAATGCATGAATTTAGACTGTGAATTAGTAAAATTGTATATTGATGAATTTATTTTATTTTATTTATTGATAAATGAATATTATATATATATATATATATATATATATATATATGTAACTAAAATGTATCTGTATCTTAATGGTAATTAAAATTATATAGATTCAATTTTCCATATACCCCTTTACTTATTTACATGACACAATCTAGGAAAAACAAATCTAATTATCTCCTATTGTTTTATGATAAAAATTATAATTAAAATTGCAACCATACAATTATAGATGAAATTAAAATATTTAATGAATAATATATAATGGTACAGTTAAAATATTTTTTATACTTTTTAATACACAATTAAATAAGATAAATATAAGACTTGTATTTAAAAAATATAAATCATATATAATACTAAATTATTAATGTATATGTACAATGCTACTCATCACAAATTATTTTATGATAACAAAATATTTATGTTATCATGCATAAAAATGATTTTTCTTTTTAATATTTATTTGGGTATTTAATAAATGATATAAGTAGTTGAATTAAACAAGGAAAATGTATCAACTAAATTCGAAGGTAAAAATAACAGAAAAAAAGGGTATACTAATAAATACATTTTCAACACCTCTTTTTTTAAAAAAAAAAACAAATATATAATTTGGTTTCAAAAACAATTTAAAAATGGTAAAAATGGGTAAGATAATTTTTAGTAACAAGCATAACTAAACTGAATGTAAATAATGGCATTACTCATGACATTGTACAGTTTTGATTTTTTTTTATGTATATATATATATATATGTACATAAATATATAATCTTATAAATTAACGACTACATATTTTCTGATTTTTGAGCTAGATAATCCTCCAGCATTAGTAATGGTAACTTAAGTAGAATTTAATAAATAACGTATTGGAATACTTAACATCTGAAATTAATCAAGTAGTTTTTCTAGAAACTCTCCTGAGGGATGCTCGCGTTGATGTTAGCTTATAAGGTGGAATATCTAGCTGTGGAGATTTGCTTGATACTTGCTGATTATTCTTGACATTATTGTTTTTTAGGCGACTCGATATTCTTCTATTGTTACATTCTTTTTTTTCAACTATTGGCTTTTGTTCAGGTGTCTGGGTCTTAATGTTATTCAGTTTAGGGAATTCAGATTTTTCTTCATTTTCTTCTGACGTGCGACCTCTATACATTCGTTTTATTACTTGGGATTCAATAAATCCATCTTCTTCAACATTTTTGCGTTTACTTTTGCGAAAGTTATAATGTGGTGTGCCACTACTAATTGTTGAAGTACTGTCTTCTGACATACATGTTTCTGAATCCATGGCAGTTGTATTTGATGGTGATTCTGGAAATGAATCCATTTGTTCAATTGAATCTAAAACAGTCTTGATGCCATTTATAAACGGTTTTGTCTCGCTATCATTAGAGTCTTGATTCATTTCATTATACAAAGCTTGTTTTAAAAATGATACTTTTGTTTTGTTTTTCTTACAAGCAACAGTTGTCAATTCTCCACCAGCTGGAATAACTGTAGTGGTAGTTGTGTGAGACAAAACTGATTTACGCCTAGCTTGTAAAGGACTAGTATCATTTGACTTTGATGTAGATGCTTGTAATAGGCAGAGTGTTGGACTTGTAGATTTGTCTAAATCATTTAATATGGCCACTTCAGGAAATAGTTCGTTTGTGCTTGGTTTATCAACACAAAGACCATCACTATCTTCATACAAATCATACTCTTTAGGAGTTTCAACATTATTGTCAAAATGTTTACATTGCTCAAATACAAATACTTTCAAATCTTTAAAAGTTTTAATTTTGGTATGTTGAAATGATTCCTGCAATCGTTTTAAATTTTCACCTTCCAACATTTTTTCAGTTCCTGGTAGCATTATTTTAGATAAACAATTAATCCAATTTTGTGCTGATTTGTCATTTTTCAAACGGAGCGTCAGTGATCCAATTTTTGTATGAGTATTGTTAGCAGACTGATTATCTAGCAAATTATACACGGTATTACTTAATGTATTTTCGTTTTCATTTTCTGATTCACACTCCATCTTAACAGCTTTTAGTGAAAATTCATCTTTTTGTTTATCTGAGAACAGAATAAATACGAAATTGAGTTCATCAAAAACAATTTAGTTACTATAGTTGGTAAAAAAAAGTATTGATTTTTTAATAACATGAAGAAAACAGAGATGTCATTATTGGATTCATAGATTAAAATAGATTTTTATCCAAATACATGAATGAGGACCCTCACCATATAAATGATTGTGTATATGTATAATATGTTGTCAATGAAAAAAAAAGGTGGGTAAGTGGATGTCGCTCTGCTGTACAGTAGGTTACAAGTGGGTCACTGTATAATGGATGGTATTTAATTTGAATCCAATGATACAATATCATTGTATAAGAAAAACGATTCTGAGCGAAGACGGTATGTCAGTCTAGGTTTAAGACAATTATATACATATCTATGGTATTAAAAAAAAATTGACCCATAATAAATTCCAAATTAATCATATCACAATAACCATTAGGTACTTATACGCGTTATACACCAACAACAAACCCGGATACTATCATAGATATATAGTAGGTAGTATACTTTAGAAGTTTCAAGTACCCACGAATAATATTATGCAATCACAACGAAATAACTAAAATAGTTATTCTAGGTTTTTTTTATGTAATTTCATCCCAAATTTGAACTTAAAATGTCTGTAAAAAATAACTGTGCTCATATATTTTTTAGATATTTTGGCTACAGTATGAACTATTTATGAGAATCTTTTTATTACATTTTCAATCCTTAGCTATAAAAACTGAACATTTTATAATTTAATTAATTACGATGATTGATAATTTTCGAGATTTTGATAAATTTTGTTAAAATGCGATCTTTAATTGCTTAAAAAAAAATATTGTGCCTATGTATTTTTAATATTTTTCAATTGCTATTGTAACAATATATCAGGAGCCTTGTATTAATTTTTTACACTTTTTGGCCCAACAGATAAAACTTTATTGATATTTATAGAAAAAAAAAACTAAAAAAATTGAAAACTGAAAATGTCCGTAAACGGCTTAAAAAGAGTCAAAATATTTTCAAAATTGTATGGTGTATAGGAAATGCTAATATAAACATTCAGTGAAATTTTCATGTATCTACAGTAATTCGTTTTTTAATTACAATAAAAAAAAGAAATTGCCACATGAGAAATCGAGTGAATATCCAATGTTGTAAAAATTTGAATTTCAAACGCTCATAAAAATTTAATTTGACTTTCTTATAGAATTTTTTTTTTTGATAAATGTAGGAAATCGTATAAGGAACCTTGTATTACATTTTAATATCTAAGATTTAAAAAGAAAAATTTTTATGAATTTCTAACTCGAAATAATTTGCAAATTTTCGTGATTTTTCCATATTTTGTCATTTTTTGAACTTTAAATGCTTAAAAAAAAACTGTGACTAACGATTTTTTTTTTTTCATCTGTCTTTGAAACAATATAGTAGGAGCCTTGTATTAAATTTTCAAGTATTTTTACTCAACAAATAAATTTTATTGATATTCATAAAAAAAAAAACTAATAAAATTGGAAACTGAAAATGTCCCTAAACAGTTCAAAATAAATCAAAATATTTGGAAAATGTTATCGTGTATAGAAAATGCAAATATAAACAACCACTAAAAATGTCATGTATCTACGGTCATTTGTTTTAAAGTTACACCAAAAACCAAAATCGATTTTCTCGAAAACAGATTTTGCGTAAAAATTCCCGTTTTTCCTTAATTTTTCTTTTGTTTTTCCCGGCGCTTTTGAAAACTACTGGGAAAAGTTTTGACCTCCCCAATGCACCAACGATATTCACTTTTCAATCGAACAAGATACTGAAGTTGAAAATAGAAGCATTATTTCGACTACTTATCGTGTACACAGACACGATAATCAGCATAACGGAAATCCACAGTATTTTTTTTTATGATTCTTAAAAGAATTTTGAAGAAATTCATAAAAACTCATAAATTTTAAAATTATTTTTCAATACGAAATTCGTTAAAATTTTTTTTTCATAGCTAACATTTGAAAAATTAATAAAATATTCCTTTAAGTGTTTCTACCATAAACCAAAAAATAAGTTTACAAGTTTAAAAGTAATATCAATATTTTTTTTTTTAAATTATTAAATTAGTTTATTTATTTAAGTATGCTTGGCACCACCACCACTAAAAATTGTTTATCGTATGCAATGATTTATCATTGAATTCATATTTAACACGTCCATTACAATGACATACATATGAGTATACTCAATATCTACTGTACAACAGAGCGGTACCCACTTATTCTCCTAATTACTATCTTTATTAGTTTATTAGTAAAAGAAGGATGTCTGGACTAGAATAGAATTATTTATTCTGTTCCAATATATATTTTAAAATTGTTTAAATGAAATTAATTTATACATAGTACTGAAATTGCTTATTTTAAGAATATAAGCTACAGAATTTAAGAGAACATTACACTGACATTCAATTTTTTGTTTCTATCTTACAAGTGCGTAACATACCAAGCAAAACACGTTTAGAGTTCTATTAGTATAAAAACTAGAGTGAATTGACCTCTTGTACAATTTAAAGCTAAAATTATTATCCAGGACCTCTCTTACAATTTTTTATTAAATTTTATTTTTAAAGCGAGTTATGACTATTTTAAAATGTACAAATAATTTACAATTTAAAAATTCTCATAACTCACTTTAAAATTAAAATATAATAAAAAAACCAATGAGATGTCCTATATAATCATACCTTTCAAATGTATAAGAGGTCATTTCACTCTTATCTTTATACTAATGGAGCTAAACGTGATCTGCTAAGCATATAATTTGGTACATTACGGACTTGTAAGATGGAGACAACAATTAATGTCCATGTAATTACCCCTTAAGCCTGATTAAAATTTAAAATAGAAGTATGTTTTGAATTTATACTAATTCATATTTTTTTTTTATACTGACTATAAATAATGGACAGTTTAAAAAAACAATAATATAAACTGTTACTTACAAGAATTTGATGTTTGAGTGACGGTTGAAATTATTTCAGCAGCTGAAGCAGCAGCAACATTGTCTAACACTATATTTGATTTGTTACCTTCTACTTTTTTAGGAATCGCAAGTTCTAAAATATTAGGTCTTGCCTCAATAGTAGTATCACATGTGTCGTGTTCTTGCTTAACTATTGTACCATCCTCACACCTCACAACATGCCCATCATTTATATTATTACATACTTTTTTGTCGCTCAAACAATTAACTAAAGTTTGATTAACATTTGTATTCTCCAATTCGTTTTCATCTGAATTAGATGTATTTTGTTGGCTATTTGTATTAGTAATAATGGTCAAGTTTTCATTAGTTTCTTCTTCTTCATGACTGTCAAATGATGGAAACTCAATATCTTCATAAGAAGACTCATTTTTAAGAGTTGTACTTAATTTTTCATGCTCATTAACAAATTGATTCATATTAGAGATATTTATCTGTTCTTGGTTCATGTTTGTATTTTGTCCATTATCACAATATTCTTTATGAATACTTTCTGAAATATTATTTTGAGCTTCAGTCAATAATTCATTATTATCAGTTGGTTCTGATTTCGGTGTACAAGGTAGAGTATGTATGACACTAAATGTACTTTGAGATGCTTGATTTTTTTTCATAACTGGAAATGACAATTGTTTTTCATTATTATCAAGTACTTGAGCTTTTTCCATTGACTCCAAAAGAATATCAGGTTTATTAATTATTTTATGATCAAAGTTTTGTAAAGTATTATGTAAAATTTCACTTCCTAAACTTGTATTTGCAATTTGTAAATCATCAGCTGATAAAGCTGATAAGATAGTTGATTCACTAATGTTCTGTCCTAATATATTAGAAGCCATTTTAACATCATTTGAGCAAGAATCTTTAGCGGTAATTTGATGAAAAACTACAGGTCCTGGTCCAGTTACTGGACAATGCAACCTGTACATTTTTTGATTATTCCCTGCTGCTACAAGAAGTCTAACATTTGCTGCATTACCATCAGGTATGGATAAAAAAGATCCAGATGTACCACTTACAACAATTTGGGTGGATTGAGAAACTTTAGACTTCATTTCAGCTTCAATATTAATTTTTTTAATAACATCATTAACATTAATTAATGCATTTTCAATTAAAGGTGTTTCTGAAATCACTGTAGATTGTTCATCTGAATTTCTAGATGGAGAGTTGATAATATGTGAAAAATGACTAACAGCATTAGAACTATCCTCACTGTCAATAGCTTGCATATCAGACGTAGGACTCATTTCCATACCAGATGATGAGCAAGATGTTTGTTGAGAGCATGTTTTTAAATTTAATTGATTCGTTTTTTTACGTTTGGCATTCAGGCTTGGATTTGTTGGTGGATTAGTTCTACGTCTAGGTGCTGGTTTATTTTTCAACTCAGGCGAATTACGTAGTTGTTCAGCATATTTATCGAGTATTGCATATATTCGCTGAGTTGTTTGTTCATCTTCTTGTAATTTAGGCAAAGGTTTTTGCAAAACTGGAACTTTTACAGCTGAAGTTGATGGAGAACTTGCTGGTGTCTTAATAACAGGTTTTACTTTATTTGCAATCTGCTGTTTAGCACATTGTGAATCAACTGGATTCACCGACACATTGTTATTAGGTGATGTTAAGGGGGGTGTGGGAGTAACACTTCGCACTGAAATTATAGTCGGTTGTATGTTAACTAGTTCTTTATCGTCACTAGCCAAATCATTTACATTTGACAATGTTTGATTCAAAAATGAAAATGAACAACGATCTCGTTCACTATTTATATTTGATTTTTTATTCAAAGGAAATAATGCTTGATTGCTATCAGTATTAAGTAAGTCAACATTTTCTGTAGGAGAAGGAATTTGTATTATTTCATGATTTATTTGTGGTAACATACTGGCTGTACTCATTTCATTCATCAATGAAGTTTTCCGTACTTCTTCTAATACTGATTCAAACTCCCTTACTTGTTCCATCATCAAAGTGCTAACATTGGTTTCTGGAAGATTTGGTTTAATAGTACTTATCGATATTTTATTATTTGAAGACTCTACAGTAGTTTTGACAATATTTGCCACACTTGCAGGTAAAATCCTTTCTATTGGGGATGTCTGTACTTCTGTACTCTGTTTACCCTGACGAAAACTATTTTGTTGCCAAGTAGGATGTTTCCGTAACACTGTTTGAATTATAGATGGGGACATCTTAAGTTGTCTTTGTAGTTGTGTTACACCTTGTAAAGGTTTATCTATAATACTATTAGTAGATTTAGAATCATTTAGTATAGGAATTGAATATATTAAATTAGAACTAGATGATGGTATTGATGAATTTATACAACTAGTGGTAAATGTAGATGGAACTTTTGAAATAGGCATACTAGAGAGTCCTTTTTTAATTTCAATGTTGCTAGTAAGAATTTGATGAGTAGATGATGGGGTTGAAACTTGTGGGATATTGTTTGCAGAAGTGACGGCTTTACATGTCATTATAACATTATTTTTGTTGTTTCCAATCGCCATAATATTACTAGATTTTGACATATTAACAGTATGCTGAAGCTTATTTTCTACTAATTTTGGTGGTATACAGTTCATATTAGAGCCAATTGTGTCAACATCATGATTAGTCTGTACACCTTTTGAAGACGAATACACTCGTGACGTTGGTATATTGGTCCGATTAACAATTGGCCCAAGATTTGAAGAGAGATTACTTGCCGCACTAGTTGAACACAGAGATGAAGTGTCATTAATAACAGTTGAATTCGGAAATTTAGTTTTACCGAAAACTTGTTGAAATCTTGGTAACATCGAGCCTGTAATTGTGATATTTGGAGAGGCATTTGGGGAAAGTTTTGGCTTTTCCAAACATTCTTTAGACTGTCGATTTTGCATTTTCAAATTACTTGAAGTATTATTTCTGGGTGAGATAACTGATTTGGTAGGCTCTATATGACTAACAATATCGTCTTGAACTGCATATAATGTTCCTTTCTCAAATACAAACATATCAGACATGTTAGCTTGTTTAAGAGCTCTAGTTTTACTTTCATAAGTTCTCATATTACCTCGTCCCCTAGTTGATGATTTAGAACTTAAATCATTTTCTTGGCTGATATGCGACACACCTTCTGAAGAATTTTGAAAAACAGCAAGATTTGATGTACTGTTTTTATCTGTATTTTGTATAAGACGTTGCGATTCTGTACTACTGGTAACAAATTTAATTGCTTCTGACGTAGCAGTAAATGTTTGGCTTATTAATTTTAGATTGTCAATTTTTTTTTGTTCATCAGATCTATTTGTTTGAGAAGTATGACTTAAGTCATTCAGCTGCATTCTTTGATTATGTGGGGATGTGTAAACTGAATTATGTACATTGGACTTAATAACCTGACTTTGAGTTGAAGCAATCATCAATGATATAACTGAAGCATTAGGATGAGAAACTTCATTAGGTAGCCGTAAACCAACACAGGTTTGAGTCTGTATACTTGAAACTGGATTTATCATAGGAATGTTTGATTTTAAATTATCAAATGAATTTTCCTTCATAAATGAAGTATTCACAATTGAGCAATTGTTTTTTCTACTATTTGCGGAATTCATTATTTGATCATTTAATAAAGACATATTAGTTGAAGTCGAATTGTCTGTGATGTTGGTACCTACTTGTGTTGCTTGATGGTTCGGGGACATAATACTTTGTACACCGTCAGATTGTTGGTTGTTGAAATTGACTTGCAAGCCAACTGATGTTTGAATTGGAGAATTTTGTTGAATTTTTGAGTCAAAGTTTGATTTATTTGTGTTCATTGCTAATGGTATATTTGTAGAACGATTACTGTTGGTTGATATAGAAGAAATTGATGCTGGCAATGATAAATCAATAAATCGGTCTCGTGTCTTAACACAATAAGTAGATGGCTTTTTTGTAGTATAAGTCATTTGTCCAGTAGTTTGAGTAACATGACTTGGATTTATAACATCAGATGTTCGAACTATCACATTCGAGGATAAATGTACAGCACTTTCAATATTAGATTGTAGTCGCTCTCCAGAATTTTGTAGTTGAATATCATTCCAATGTTGATGATCTAAGTTAATTTGATTTTGATTCAACAACACATCCTGTGTCCCAATTGGTTTACTTGAATCTTGCTGAACAGTATTGTGAACATTTGTAATTGAATCAGTAGTAATTCTTTGATTGCTTACAGATACACTACCAGTGAAACTACATTCCCCTTGATGAATTCCAACATTTTGAACAGAGTTCATGCTATTATTTAACGAATTAGATTGATACACAGAAACAAAATCATCCAACGAATGAGTGTTAGTTTGGTTTTCATTAGTTTTTTTTTCTAATTCGTTATTAGAATGATGATTTGAAACTCTTTCTGTTTGCGTTTGTGATACATTTGTTAAAGTATTTGATGTTGTTTGAATTTGAACTACATTAACAATGCGATCTGTATTTGCTGGTACTATGAAATCTAATGAACTTAATTGAGGTATTCGTTCTGATAACATATTTAAATGTTCTCTACTGGAATGTGGAAGTTCATAATTAGTAGAGTAGCTTTTGGTTTGATCATTATGAATAGATTTTCCTTTTTTTCTGAGGGACCATGAATAGTCAAAGTCTTTGTGTTGATTTTTGCTGACAGACCTTTTTTCTCGTTTTAATTTAAGCTGACCTTTAAATTTTACAGGCGATCTATCATTTTTTACAGTTCCTATGATGGTTTCTTCTAAAACAGAATCAATAGAATCATCTTCAATTTCATCACTAGAATTTGTATCTTTGCATTGAGCTTCATCATTTAACAAGGAACCAACAGTTTCATCATCAGTTTCATCAATACTTATACTTTTATTGTATCTTAAGCTTCGCCTCAAACCAACTCTAGGTTGTGTTTGAGTAATAATGGGTTTTGATTTACTTTTAGGACTAATCTTGCGCCGTTTTTGAGAACCAGCCTTTCGTTTACGTAAACCAACTTTTCGTTTCCGAGAACGACCCTTGGATGGTTTATTCGTACAATAACTTACAATTTCTCCTGATGAAGCAATTGATGCTATTGACTCTTCATAATCACTAAAATCACTGCTAAAATAACCTTTATCGTTCGTTAATTGTCTCATATTTATTTCTGTCCACTTGTTATATTCATCAATATCAATGTCAAGATATGTTAAATCAGAACGTTTAATTGTATTACGCTTTAACACTATATCCAAATTTTCTAAATATTGTTGACATATAATTTTCATTCTCGGCCATTCTAGGTTCCAATTGAATGCCCCATAACGAGGGTACTTGATAATTGAAATAAGGTCTTCTTGCATGACTGGCGTTAATGGATCATACAATTCACTAAGGTCAGAATGGATCTTGGAATAATTTTTTTCAGAAGCATCAAGAATAGATTTTGGGTCAGACTTACGGGCTGCTTTTGATTTACGTTTACGACCAGATTTAAGATTTGAAGTAGATCCCTTTTTGGATTTGCCATAGGAATTTTCAGGAACATTAGTTTGATCTATTGGAGTCAGCTTACCACTTTTGACAGCTAAACTTTCTACTCTCATCATTAGATCACCGGAAGGCATTAAAGAATATGCCGTTAATACACATTCTCGGCATATGCTTAAAATATCTTCAAGTAGATTAGCCAATTTCAAATATCCTTGAACTAACTTTTTTAATGATTCAAATGATCCATCTCCATCACTCAATTGTTTGCAGTTTTCTTTTTCATTTATATTAGTGGATAACGCATGGATATATATTTCTATATACACCGTACGAGGCAATTTAGAACCAAACTGTAAAAAAAAAAAACGTACTATAGTTAGAAAACAGTGTAATTTCAGATATCAACGAAGTGTTTTTGTTGTGATTTAATTATTTTCAAAAATAATATAATTTAATACTATGTCAATAATTATCAAATACATACTTAATTGTATAAAAATAATGTATTATAATATTAACTAATATTGAGTTCATATTGTTTAACGAATAATATGTTTGTAGCAATAAATCAATAGCCTATTTGATATTTATATAATTACAGTTGTTCATACACAATTTTTGTAAAATTTAAACCCTAAATTATTTGTTAGAACTTAGAATACTAAATTACTTTTTAACCAGTAATACTGATTTACAAACTATACTAAAATTAAGTAAAAACAGTATTTAAATTTGAAAAAAATCATTAAAAATATAGCCACCTAAATGTAAACTTGAGTATTACAACTCAAAATTATACAGTCTATTAAAAGGAATACACAGTATTTGGGAGGAACTCATTAGTTGCGTTCACATTCATAATATATTTAAAATTACAAGTGAACAAATAACTCAAAAATTATATTAAATAGAACATGAACACAAATAAAATTCATATTGCATTGACATTTTATTTACATGGTGGAAGCAACAAATTTATATAATTCATTAATATACAATATTTAAGATTATTTTTAATGTTTATAGTCTTAAATCAGTGTTACGGACTATGTATTCAATGAAGACTACTCATTTGGTATTTATTTTATGCATGCTGAGACTTGTATGTTAAATAATTTATAGTAGAAATTCATTATATTTTTATAAATGATATAATTTTATAGATTAATAACTATAAAATAGGGAACAAATTTGGCTAAATTATAAATAAATAACCAACATACCGTACAGAAATATTTTTAAATTATTTTATATCATAATAATAGAATGTCTTAATAACTTAGCTTTAATTTTAATAAATTTGGTACCCTAATTCACTAAGTTATCATATTGGATATATATTAAGGTATTATATGTTATAGGTAATTTTATTATAATAAATAATCTAATATTAAATTGTAATATGATACAAGATTTAATATTATTATATAAGGAAAATAATATATATTAGACTTAAGTATTTACAAGTAAAAAAAATAATTTATTAGTTTTAAATATTTTTACTTACTTCACTATAAAGGACATCGCATATCAGATATATATGATTAGCTGATGGTGCAGCTTTAACAAATGTACGAATTATATTTTTTATATGATCGTAACTTAAATTATCAGGTTGCAAATCAGTTTCCATCATTGTTATCACTATTAGACTCCACTTCTTTAAAAGGTCAGAGATATTATCAAAAATATTAGAATTTTTCAATGAATTTACAACCATGATGCAAGCAGCCATCTCACAAACAAGTACCATATTTTTACAAATCCTTGGTCTGATTTCTTTTTGCATATTTGTAAGTATCTGAATCTTTTTACAATAATTTTCCATTAGGATCTTACCATCATTTTCAGGAGAATATTTCATTAACTAAAATAAACATTAGAATTTAACTGTTAAGTAAGTACTACAAGTTAACGTATGATTACAATATATTAAGAAAACCTACATGACCAATAAGTTCTTTTTTATTATTTGTCCTTTCGAGGCATGCATAATAAATATCTCTAATGAATTCATAATCATGTTCTTCAAACTGATATTTTGATTTTAATTTCGAGTTTTGCAAATCCATTGCCAATGATGATAGTTTAAGTGCTTTATCTTCACATTTTCCCTCACAAAGCATTTTTAAACGCTGAGCAAACACACAACCATTTTCGAAGTGGATGAATTTTGAAACTAAAATAAATAAACATATTTTTAAAAATTATATTAGTTATTATTTATATTAGTTTATTTTTTAACTGTACTATTTCAACAAATTACCTTCTCTGTGAGATGGATTTCCACAAAGTAATTTTATAAAATTACGATGACCCCAGGGATTTTTCATTAAAGATAACAAACATTGACAATAATGTATTGCTTCTGGTTGTATTGGATCCAATTTTCTTAAACCTTTCGCAATTTGTCTCAAAGCTTTAGATATGTCCTTATTTACTGTTGTTGAAATATTTTCCCAGCGGGAATCCAAAAATATTATAGCAGATTCCCTAGAAAATAAAAAATAATAGAATTTAACATAATGTATTCAAACTATATAATGTAAACCTCCATATTGTACAATTTCTTCAATAATATGGAACCGAACCAATCTAAAAAGACCAACATAATTTTTAGAAGATTTATAAAGCTGTGTGAAGTCAACTAAAGTTTACGACCTGAAATATTATCTCATTAAAAAAGAAGAAGAGAAAAGATATTATTTTACTATAACTTAATGTGTACATAAAGTTTAAGTTTTAATTTTTTGCTCATTATATTGTTCTTCTATTTTGGACTATTTTGTAATAAAAATTAATAAAATATGTATTTTACATGTATTTAATCATTTTTCAAGTACTTCAGTAACAACTAATATAAAATTAATAAAATAGTTAAATAAAAATAAATTATTTATGTACCCTAACATACTGGAAATTGTACAATTGTTTAATATTTTGAATTGAACCCAATTATTTTTACAATACATGACAATGATTTTTAATTCTTAGAAAACCCTATATTTCTAATGATATTTAATTATATTTATATTATATTGCAGTTAATAACACAGTATATGGAACTCATTTTAGCTCATAAAATAATCGTATATTATAGATATATATTACATAACAAGTATAATATTTTTCATTCTTCTAATATAATACAGCTGTTATTAGCAAATCAATTTTTATGTAGTTTTCTCATCTATGTTGAGCCAGAAGGGCAGCATATTATTTTTATACTTTAATCATATCAAGCTTATACAAGAGACAGGTCAAATAGCTGCCTATTTATTTTTTTTATACTGTTGGGTCAGAAGGGCCATATATAATAATAATTTTATCAAGGCTGGGCAAGTTAACTATTTTTTTTTAACTCGTTAAGTTAATATAGAAAAATATAAGTTAAGTTGAAAGTTAAAAGTTGACTTTATTTTTTTTTAACTTGTAAAAGTTACAAGTTAATTAGAAAATAAAAGTGACTTATCTTAGTTAAAAATAAGTTACTTTTTTTTTTAAATAAAATTAATAATTATACCTACCTACCTTTTTTAAAGCCAACAAATAACATAATAATTCAATAAATCAATAAATGTCTTACAATTTTTAAATAAACGTTTGTAATAAAATAAGTTACTGTATGTACTTATATTTGTATATTATACTTTACTCAATGATGAAATCCAATAAAATAATTAAATTATTGTTATGTATTTACTAACGTAAATGGTCCACAACTATACTAAACATTATAATAATCAAATTCATTATTATTTATTGGAATATAATATAATATCAAATATTATGCAATTAATAGTAAGAATTTAGAAATACGTAAATACGATGAACTACCACGCTACTAAGAGTATTATACTACGGCCAAGTTATCGGTGTAATTCTATGAATATATACAAATATAATAAGTAATAATATTAATAATGATTAGGTATAGCGTATAGGTAGGTTATAATATGTAGTGTATGGGAAGGTACTGAGTAAATTGTTATATTTTTCTTTTATTAACGACGTGGTTACCAACATTTCCGTCTATAATATAGTTATATAATATTTTCTGTGAACATGCAATATAATAACTTACTTATTATAAATTATTATTTACTAAAATATATTTAATATTGTTATGGATGCGCACTTGGTGATTCCACATAAATAAAATAAAACGAGTTTAAATTACTTTGGCTCAAAATAATATTCTTTATTTAATTGTAATAACGTTTAATTATATGAAATGCTCTGAAATGGTCTGTTGTGACACCAACACTGACTCTACCTGCTACGTGTGCGAGCCCGCATACGAGCTGGTCGTCCGTTCAAAAAGGGTTTATTCGGCAGATTCCTTGGACCAGTCGTATGGAGAAGGGAGTCCTACTCACCTGTGTCACACACGTATCAGTTTACAGTATGATTAAACAGAAATTTACATTTATACTACAAGAACTATAGAATAATATAACTAACAGTATTCAAGGGTTCTTAACAATATTTCGGGGGTTTTTTTTTTATTTAATTAATTTTACAAAATTAAATTTATTTTAAATATGTGATTTGGGAAAAAATTAACTTAACGTGCCAATAAAATGAATTAACTTGTTAAGTTACTGAATAACACGGGGAAAATGTAACTCTATAAGTTAGAAGTTCCTACTAAAAAAAAAAGTAACTCGTTAATTAACTTAGTTAAAAGTAACTTAACTTTAACTTATTAATTTGTTAATTCCCAGCCTTGAATTTTATTCTGTTAGGCTATAAGAGCTGTGCATCTGTTACTATTATTCTCTTTACACATTTGAGTTGCTGTGATTTATTTCTATATTTTGTACCAATAATTATTATTTAAATTGTGTATGGTATAGCAACTCAACTACCAGAAATCGTGTTACTATTTTTATATTAGTTTTCTTTGTAAACACACCTACACATATTAGACAACACGTGCTGTAATATAGCACGATAGTATTTGCCCGGCAATCCTGACCACTGCTGTTTGAGCTACTAAACCACTATACACCCAGCTAGTCTTTGGGAATTTATCTGTGTATACAGCGTAAATGTATAATATAATGTATGTAAACAACACTTTGAGCATACAAATTTAAATTTAAAGTTATTAAAAAAAATAATTTAGTGTTATATAAATATATAAATTAAAGTTATTCTAATATCTACTTTGTAAGTGATATACAATATTAACAATGATTACACACTTGGTAAAATACAATTTTAGATTTAATATGTAACACACATACCTACACACAACATATATTATTATATTATATAAATATCAAATAAAAACAAATATAAATTGTATTTTATTACCTGGTGGCATGATGCATAAAAATTTGTAATTCAGAGGCGAAGGACTCAGCAAATATTAAAGTATTACTCTTCTCCCATGCGATTAATAACTTTTGCGCTCTATTATTAAACTCCTTTTTTGTATCTTTATTTACTGACTCAAATATCTAATTAACAAAAAAATATTAAATGAATAAAACAATTAACTATCAACTACATAGGTTAATAAGTGAATTTGTTAGCTATTCACAACCACATTACCAGCATTAAGAATGTTAAAATTACATTTGTTTTAATTTCTATACTAAGATCTAGGGTCAAAGAGTACAAAAGTACATAATGAATTAAAATTTTACTTGTTAATTACAATTATATTTTGTACATAGATTTTTTATAAAATATTTTTAATATTAGTTAAATTAAAAAATAATTTTTAATAAATAAAATGTTTGGGCTTAAACAATAATCAAATGTTCTCAACTAACTTATATTATTTTTTTATTGACCCTCCATAAAATTTATCCAATATGGATAAGTTAGGTTTTAAAATAGTATTATATTACCAATATACTCTACCGGTCCAAGACATTTAATAATTATTTATAATTTCAGATAAGATTAGCACTACCTCAGTCTATATCAGATTCCCAACCAGGGTGCCGCGGCACCCTAGGATGCCTCAAAATTTTTTTAGGGTGCTACGAAATTATTTAAAATATTTTTTTAGAAAAAACAATTTCATTAAAAATAAATACAATGTAATAATTTGTTTATAAAATGTAATATGTATATAGTATGCACCTACACGTTACTACTTTTGATTATACTTATGCACTAATAAATAGAACCGAAGTACTCTATAGTATAGACTATAGACTATAGTGCCGCGAGTCAATAAAGGTTGGGAACCTCTGGTCTATATGATGTAGTTTATCATATTTTGTTTATCAAATTTAACTTGTACTATTATTTTAGATCATGTTTAGTCAATTGGGGACATTCATTAAAATATGTCAAACAAGTTTTGCTCATAAGTCATAAACTCATAACAAAGAATTGGTAACTAATTTTTTATTCGGTAAAAATCTGAAAATATTTTTTAATGATGGTAAATATGTATACACTGTCTGTACTAATATTGTTAATATTATTGTTATTACCCCTGTTATTACTTATTAGTGTTACATAATATGATTTATATTATATTTGTGTATTCGGATCATAATGTAACCAAAATCACTATTTCAACCATATATTTATTAATAGAATAATTCTAAAATCTAATTATGAATTGAGTAATTGAGATGAGTCCAACTAGATAGTACCCGCTACATTAATTATCTATAATTTTTTTTTGATACAATAGTAGTAAAATGGTATATTAGAGCGTTTCTCAACCTACGTTATGTGGAAACATCATAGGTGGTATCACTGGTACGCTAAGAAAATCTCCCTTTATAAAAAAAAAATGAAATGGACCATTATTCATATTAAATATTATTTGGTTTATTTGATATTAATAATAATAATAATAATAATATAAACAATAATTATTGTACATATTTCATTTGATTTGTATGCATTAAATGCTTATATTATCATATAATGAGTAGTTTGTAGTTCCTAATAAAATACAACTTCATCCTTGTAAAATAACGTACCAATACATTTTTCATAAGTAAAAAAGAATTTTATCTCGACAAAATGAAAATTTGCAAACTGTGTACACTGATATAAAAAGGTTGAGAACCGCTTGTATGTTATATAGATAGTATTATGTAGGTACAGTAGATATTGATTAAAAGGTAATGCAAGAAACCAATTTTATATAATGTATACCTACATAATTATACTGCTTATAACTAAATTAAATTCAAGTTATTGAACCTCCAATAACATAACGTCAGGTATAAAATCTTAATCTATAACAGTATTATAATTATCATCTAATAAATAATATTATGTAAAGAAATTAGTATATTAGTAGCAAAGTATAAGGGCCCAAGCAGAAATTTAGTTATATTACATTTTGTATATTAAGGTATACTACAAGGAAATTTTAGTACAAATTTCCTTTGACATGTTAAATACAAACTAATATACCTAATATTATTTCATGAAAAGTTAAAAGTAAACCGAATATAAAGTAAGCAAATACATTTGTAACTTAATAATATACGTATTATTTAACATACAGTTAGGCCAGTATAACAGTTTTTAATCTAACTGTAATAAATGAACAAAAATTATTTATTTAAAAAAAGTATTAGATGCTAGTTCATTGAATAAATTGAACTGTTTAATTTATTTATAACTTTTATACATTTTATAAGATCCACATAACTGAATACGTTTATATATTGACAGTTTTAAGAAAATAAATTAGACAATAAAACGAATCCATGAATTACTGCTACTTATTTTTTAAACTTACAATATTGATGTTATTTTGTCAAATGTATAGATAATAAATACTAGGTACCTATTTTTTAATGTATTTTATTTTAATAGGTACCAATATAATGAATACTGTTTATTAAGAATCTTTGTGAAAAGCAATAGGTATTATAAATATTAAAGCCTAAAGGGGGTTTCCTAAAGGTAATTCCTATTTCCATAATTATGTTTACAACGAGGATTACAATGTTGTTAGTTGTATATAAATTAACATTAATGTAAGTAGGTATACAGGTATACTGAATTGCAAAGCAAACAGTATTATAGATATCACACATTGCTAACCGTTATGTCGGATAATAGGCAGATAGACTAGATGTTGAATTACAATATTACCTAACCTAAGAAATGTTCAATCATTTAGAAATTATTTTTATTTTAAGAGGACACCATACCCGCATAATTAGATCGTCAATATTTTAAATATATTATATGGCCTTATATTGGCATACTTGTGTACTAACTTCAACTGCAGCAGTATAAGTTGATGACGGCATTTTGTTTTCTGGATACATAATACATTCAATTAATCTATGACTTTCAATCATCTGAATCTGTAAACAACAAAAGCTATCAATCAATAAATAGTAATAAAGTAACTATTAATATAACAACTAATTAATTATACCTAACTGGTTATGTTTTTTTAAGTACTTTTTAAAATATAAGTCCTTAAATATATTTAACTTTATGATAAGTACCTAGTTTAAAAAATTACAAAAATTAATTAAATGAAGTTTGAAGAAATGTTCAGGAAATTCTATTAAACTACATATTTATATGGAAAAAACTGTACAGTTTAATTTTATCAATAAATAAAAAACCATATAAATAGTTAGGTAGATTTTTGAACTCCTTATAGGTACATCTAAAAATATTAATTAATAAAAGAAAAAAAATTCAACTGTGAAAAGCAAACCTATATTTTCTTACCTTAATCAGAATATAAGTTATTTATTAAAACCAGTACCTACTGATCACTACCTACCTAAGTACAAAATTTAAAAAAAAATGAGAACTTACCTATTTACCTACCTACCTACATATATGAATACGAAAAAATCTTAACGACAAAGACTTTTATGATGGGTTTAAAATATTAATTACCTACCTAATGAGAATACCTAAGTATAGATTTGATCAATGACATTGGAATCAAATATTTCTTAAGAGGACGTTGCACTCGCATGTGTCTCTCAGTCGTGAGTCTCTCTACATGTGTAAGGCGGAGACACCACATGTAGGTGCGATGTCCTCTTAAGTAAATTCTGTTATAAAATATGATAATTATTAGTTATTTATAGGTAGGTACTATTATTACTATCATTCCATTTTTCTTTTATTTTTAAATATCACTGGATAATCCTTATTGAAATTTAAACTCATTTTCATCATAGGTATCAAACAAAATTAGGTAATAGAAATGTTTAAATAAAATACTTGATTTAAATGATTATTGAAATGTAGGCAAAAGTTTACGATGAATATTTAACATGAAGTATTAGATTAACTATAATTGCCTATCTGAATTGCAAATGAGAAGTACCTTGTAATTTCAATTGATTATTACAGATAAAATATAAAATTGAATTGTTAAACTTGGCAAGCACCCACATACAAAGTCTAAGGTTGCAAATGTCATCTTTAAGAAAATAATAATCAAGTATTTGTAATTGGTATTACGAGTAGTTAGATGAAAGCTCACTGCCACAACATGAGAGTTGTCGTCAACTAACATTTTAAAATATTGTACCTAGGTACCCAAAACAAAAAAATGTTGGAGGCACAGCTACAACCATTCAAGGCAGACAGAGATTATTGTTATACATTGTCGTAGCTCAACTGCGGCATTCAGCAGAACAGCCAGAGTAGAAACGAGCTGTGCACCGACGACAATGCCAGCGAGAGTTGGATACTTTAACAGTGACGGGCGGTGACAAGCATCGTTGGACTTACCGTACGACCGAATCAACGGTGAGGTGACATGTCAGACGACACGATATAAGTAGCTGTCTATAATACGTCCGTCTGTCGCCGCGCTACTACAACAGGTGCAGCGGCGATTATGGCGGTGGCGGCGCAGGCGGCTACGACATTTTTGGCGAAACGGTAATGCGCGCGCGATCCACGGTAGCCTAGAGCAAAGCTGCTCCTCTCGAAGCTCAGCGGAAGCGAAAGACGAGGTACCGAAATAATAATAATAATAGTTTTACGGGACCTGACACTAGGTACACCGTGCACGAAACGTTATAAATGACGGACACCCGAGGGACCGTGTGTGTAGTGTTCGGTTGAAAACGAACGGTTGTCGTTAGTTATCATTACCGCGACACGATATTTTTATTAGTATTAGAACGTCGTCGGACGTCGCACAGCATTAAAAACGAAATGGTCGAAAACAAAAACCCAATGCGCGATTGAAGATAACGTCTTGTGCGCGCGCGTGTGTGTGTGTGCGTCTGTGCGTTTGTGTGTGTGTATGTAAGCGCGAGCGCGAGCTGTACGTATTTGCGTGTGCGTGTGTGCGAGTGTGTGTATAATAATATAATAGCGAATAATAATAATAATAATAATATATAATATAATAATAATAATAATATAATATCACTGACGCGCGTGCGTGTGCGCGCATTTGCGTTTATGAGAGCGCGCCGGTCGTGCGATTCGTGTACGTGTGCGTGCGCGCGCGTGTGTTCGTGGCGGGGGATGCGGAGAGGAGACAAAAAAAATGTATATATATATATATATGCAAAAGCCCGAAAGAAAATAAAATCTACAACCAAGTACGATCAACGAAAAAGGAAGTGCCCGCGATAAGTGGTAGTACGTTCACTGGTACAAACCACATGGGCGGTGGTGAATCGCCCCGACAGTGTGGCCGGTGGCGGTAGCGGGCGGTCGACGCTCTGCCGCTGCGGGCGCCCACGGTACAGCCAACCCTCGCAAGTCACGCGGGGGTGTGTTTTCCGGGCGGCCGATGACCGCCGCCGTCGCGGACACCCTGCGCCCATGTTGCTGTGCGTGGTGCGTGAATGCGTCCGTCCGTCGACGGCGGTGCCAGCAGCAGCAGCTGCTACACCTGTGCGGCTGTGCGTGTGAAGCCGTGGAGGTAGCTGCTGCGTTTGCCGTTATCAACCGCGAGCCTCCGAACGTGATAATACCGAAACGCATGTTTGTTTTGTCGACATGTTGTTATTGTTATTGTCCGTGTGCCGCCCATTCGCGTCATCTGACGATAATAACGCAGACTTTATATTATTCAATGCTACAACTATAATTAGAATCTATGATATAATTATATTATTCTATGACCGTCGTGATTAATATATTAAACATAACACACGATAGTTAATAATTTAATATAATATTTTATCAATGTAATGTTATTGACCGTGTATTGAAGGTGATCGCTGGTGTATTCAATACAATTTTAATTTCAACTATCAAAACGGTTTTGATATTAATTATCGATGAACAATAAAATTGATTCTGTACATATATTATCCCTTATATAATGTATAGATATGCATGCACATTTTGCCGTGTATTTTCATAACAATAATGACAATTTAAAATAATAAAACAATAACGCAATGGGTTGAACAAATTTGAATAATTTCAGGTGGACAAAAATATTTTTCACAAAACTACTTTTTGTTATATTTCTAAATATTAAACCGTATAGTGAAGGGCCGAAATCCCGGCATCCGGAAGTAAACATTGGTTTTATCAATTTCTTTTCTGTTTGTAATCCATTTTTAATTATTATTATTATTATAATGTTTAGATATCACAAATTTGGAATTAGTCACCTAAGTATACACTTCATTAAACGATAGACGCAATTTCCGTGTGCCTAATGCAACGACGTAGTTTTTGTTATTTTTTGTTATATTTCTAAATATTAAAACGTATAATGATGGGTCAAAGTCCCGGCACTCGGAAGTATACAAAGGTTTTATCAATTTCTTTTATTTTTGTAATCCATTTTAAATAATTATTATTATTATACCTTTGATTATCACTATTTCGGAATTAGTCACCACAACGTATACCTATGATAATTAAACGATAGATTCCGATTTCCGAGTACCTAAATCAACGACGTAATCTTTGCACTCGCAAAGAGTAAACATCGTTGTGTCGACTTTGGAGTTCGGACCTATTTTATTTTTTGTAATTATTTGTCCTAACATGTCATTCATGTGTCTGAAAATGGGACATGTATTCAAATAAATGATTATTTTTACTTTTAATAGAACTTCATAAAAAATCTATGAAATGTTATCAAAACATAATAAAATAAAATAATACGTAGGTACAGAAAATTCATTATTTTTTATAATCATTTGAAATAGTAAATACAATTATGTAATCAATGAATATTTTTTCAGTTTAAATTCAAATGTATAGTATACCTTCCTAGTTGAATGTATTATATTATATAATGCATCAGAGTATCAGACATTCCTTTTTTTTTAATATTTGAACGATTTGTAAAGTAGAACCATATACATTATACCTGTACATTTAACCTTCAATGTTCAAGTTAATATATTAACTAATAAATAATAATAAATCTTTGATCAACATAAAATTGGTTTGATATGATACTATGATTTGCATTGGAATTAATATACCTAGTACCTACAATATAATCTAATTTCAGCAATCAGTCTGAAATATAAAGTTTTTTGATAATTATATTTAGATTTTGAATCTGGGTTCAAAAGTTGGTGCACTTGCATGTTTTTTTTTCTATTATTGTAAAACGTTTTTTCAAATATACCTAGTTGACATATAATTTACCGTTTTATTAATAATAATAAATATTTAGAACAACTTACAGTTGATAACAATAATTTAAATGTAAAAATATTTTTTCATTTTTTTTTCCATTTTATAAAGTTCATTAATAATATAAACTACAAAGGGCATCGAGTACCGTTAGTAGGTACCTATTTAAAATGAAATATTTATTTATTAATTATTATAGGTAATTAATAAAAAAAACTCTTTGAAAATATATTTAAAAAAAAATTTGTATGTTACATTAAGTAAAATAAAAATATTAAATAAAAAAAAAATATATATTACTATTTATAGGTACTTATTAGTTATTACGGCGTAATAAAAAATGGATTTCACGGTAAATATAATAATAATTGCACTCAGTTGTATCCTGGAGAGTATATCGGCCACGTATATGTACCCATAATATAATCAATATTTAATATTAGTCTGGACTTTGACCTATCGGCTATCATGATTATACTTTTAAATTTGAATTGGTACCTACCTACATAAATAGTCTATGATACTCCTTAGTCATAAGTCATTACCTACCATTGTAGGAAAAAAGAGTTTTTAATACCAACATTATTTTGTGATAGTTACCATTCATTAAACATTTATACCTAAACAGACAACAACAAAAAGTATTCAAGTATAGTAATTAGTAAGTACCTAACGTCCATACATCCAGGACCCAGGTGCATTATTTTTAACGCCGGTTTAGTCTAGGCGAATTTGTCCTAGATGGCTAGGT